ATTTTGCAGAATTTGACTTGTCACATGGTAGGGTTCATTTGCAAGCAGGAAAAATAGACCAAAAATTGAAGGAACATCGTTATTGGAGGAACCTAAATCGAAAACTCGGGCTGAGTTCAGTCATCAGACACTAAACAACAGATTAACTATAAGTACAAATACTTTCGTGTCGTTAAAAGTAAAAGGCAACATCTTCCTCGACAACCATGAGTCTGTCGTCTTTACCAACTCAACCATCTTCTGCTTCTGTACGATGTTAGAATAGATTAAGAAAAAAGGAAAAAGATGAAACAAAATGAGACATAAAAACAAATATAACGTCTTGCATTTTTTAAAAAGATAAAACAATACAGAAATAAAACAAATGTCAAGGGTTTCTTACAGATAACGCGTCGTGTTTGTATTTAAAAGTGAACAAATGTCGAGGGTTTCTTTTCCTTAATCAGGCAAAATTTTGCGGTTCTCTATTATACACTCATCGAATGCCAAACAAATGTTGGTATTTATTTATAACAAACTAATTTAGAAGCTATCATTAAGATTCGAAGCAAAGACCCCAAACTGTAAATGTTTTCTCGACCACGCGTCTGTGATGAACTTTTTGTATATGCATATTCATCAATAAGCATCCTATGACATTGATGCAGAAATCGTTGACATAGTGAAGGATACCTTGTATAGTTTCCATGTTATCTTCCTTATAATCTCCACGAGGCGAACCATGCACAAAAAGAAGCAACTCACCATTATCAGCACCGCAAATGCCTGTTTTACCTGTAAGAAAGTGGACAAACTGCATCAGATGTTTTATTTATTAGAACTACATACAAACAAACATGGACATAGAACTTGGGAAAATCATGTAAAGAAAATGCTAGGTGCACATCGTTTTGTACTTAATATTGCACTGAGCACATATGCTCACACGAGGTATAGCCCACTTTCAATACAAAATTAACGGGCCCGGCACATGTGAGTGTATATACAACATTGTGCGAAGGATTGCGTGCATTTAGCATGTCCATTGTATAATATTCTCGCTTACAGAAGAATTTAAAATACCCGGTTTATTAGAGAACTCAAAGACACCGGCCATAGAAGAGATATAAGCAGAGTAATCAGGATAAGCCATAGACAACCGACGCAAAAGAGAAGCATGCAGTGTTCTTTCATCAGCATTGTTCAGTTCGTTTTTCCATTTAGCTTCACCCGATTCATTAATTGATAGGTGCTGAAAGTTTTCCCTAGAAAAATGCAGCACGGGAACCTGTAACTGTTCCTTGCTGAAGTTGGATTGAAATAACTGTAACATGGTCACCAATTGTTCAATCTCCACATCCCGAATAGCCCTTATTGCAGCACTTTGACGTTCGACTGGCAAAAACTCTGTCAAATTGTGATAAACACGATGTATACAAAATAAAAAAAATGGGACTCAACTCAATAGCTATGTCAATCTATGCAAGCTAGCAACTTGAAAAGACTATGCTAGTTATTGCATTGAGCTGAACCAAATGACAAAAGAAGATTTGATGTTCCGCAGAATCATCAAAATGTCTTCGATTTATAAAATAACTCGACACAAGCATGTTTAGGATCATGTACTGTTCCTTACTTTAGGAAAAAATGAAAACAGCACATTTCTACTTTCAATAGCTGGGTCGCAGGGGATGCAAGAATTCCACAACAAATTTCACACATCAATTGGACAACAAACACAACTTGCTTCACTGAACAAATTCCAAAAGCAGTCTTTATATTATTGGCATAACGATAGTTAATACAACTTAAAACATCATCCTGCACTCAGCTTAGCTAAAAACATAGCATGTCCAGAATCTCGAGACCTTAAATCAGGTCTAACAGACTATTTCTCTTTATATATTTTGCTGATAACAAGATTGAGGTTGACATACTCGTGAATGAATAAGACGTTAATCTAGAAACTAACACCTTCATGATCTTGAAATGAATCTTCATCCTTCTGTAGTTCGACTGCATCGTGATTGGCATTATCGTCGTCACTCGAGGGTTTTTTAGGAGGCCTGCCTCTTCGTTTAGCCATAAGAGACTCCCTAAAGTAAAATGCATGAAACAAGAAATCCATCACTCACGTGGCATAAAACGAACTAATAGATTCGAGAATCTTAAACCTAGACCAAATTGCCAATAATACTTTTGAAAAAAAAAAATCTCCTTCTCACTCTTACAAGTTTCCATAATGCCACTCATTTTAACTGGGGTTTCAATTTGAATCACAAAGAAATGCGATGAAAACGAGCAGAGCAGTTTCAAAGATTAATTTTTCACTGTTCATCGGTTTGTGGGGTACAATCAATCCGTTAGACATTCAGTCTGCAGACAAACTAGAAAACAAAAATTCTCAAACCATGATATCTTATTGACAAATATATAAAAAATAAAAATAATAATAAAAGAACTACAATATCACCAGATACCTTTAAAAAACTACAATATGAACAGGAATCTTGCTGAGAACATGAAAACTGAAATACAAATTATTAAGTAGCAGAAAAAAAAAACAACACGTTGTGAAACACATGTTCTAACTAGGTGAGTACATTTAAGATCTGAGATATCATTTGTAGTGGAAGCTCTCAGATTAATACAAGCATAAATATGTTTTCAACTCGAAATGTACTACAAAAGTATCTGATTGGAGTAACTTGCAGTTAATTTGCAAGCAAAGTATTGTTTTCAAAAAAAATGATATTGAGAAAATATAAGGGCACGATTTAAGTTTTACTTTCAAATATGGCACATTGATTCGATGCGCGGAGTAGGAGAAATAAGTCACGCCAAAACTAAATTTTCAAATTGAAAACTAGATGAGAGCAAAACAAGAAACCAAATGAAAATGCGTAATAAAAATGGTTTGTAAATGTTGGTTTCCGCCGTTTCGATATTCACACATGGAAGAAAAAGAGAAATGGTAGAGATGTCAACAATGGTCGGCCTGCCGCCGAAAGCACGCCTTTCGGAAAGCCTACAAAAGACTAACCAACCTCAAAATAGGTTGGGCGGGCCTAGCCTGCCACCACAAAAATGTAAAACCAGGGGGGTAGACGGCTAGGGGCTGGGAACAATAATTATGTGGAAAAGATAACCGATCATGTTCATGAATCAAAAGACAAGAAATAAGAAAGAAAAAACAAAACAAATTACCACAAATAACGGAACCAGAACTCCTGCCTCCGGTAAATCACCAATTAACTAAAAGAGCAACAACTAATCACAAAACCAAATATGAAATTTTCCCCAAACAATACCACATTGCCAATGCCACCAAGCAAGAAAACCAGCAGTGTGTCTTTTTTTTTGGTAGCCCAAATGAAAGTTATTGGACGGCCCATGAAGACTATCGCATGCCCATTCTATTGGCCCATCTCCTTGGCAGCAACAAAGCCTTGTCCAATACTTTTTTGCTGCAGATTAATCCTGTTTTCCCTACCGTTCCCCATACTCTCCCAAATCCTTTATCAGGTAAGTTTTTTTCATTTTTCCGAACTCCATTCCTATAGGTATCGCCCGATTCTCCCCAACCATGTGGTCCCCTTTTTCCTTTATTGAATTCCCTCTCCTTTTAAAGGCTGAAGACACAGCAAGGGCGTGAGACTGCTGCGAACAGATAAGCGAAAACAGAGAAGGTGCAAGAAAGTGCGAGCGAGAGAAAATTCAAGAATCAAGAGCTGTTTCCCTTTCTTTTAAGATAGTACTTCGTGTCTACCGGAGATTCGAGGTGTCCAAGGACTTTGTGCCACAGCACGAGCTAGTATCTAAGCGATTGACGTAGGTATTTTACATACAGTGACTGGATGGATGATGAGCCAAGAATGAAATACAACCTCTACATGTTGGCCCCGAATTCGTCAATGAAAAGGGTGTAGTCGATCTCAATCTAAAGTACATTCGATTTACCCTTAATGTGTTCCAGCTTTCAGTATTTTAAGTTTTCAGCTCTTCATTTGCTTTATTATCGGTTAGCTAGTTTCCAGAATGAGAATTTGGCGGCTACACTAACCAGCTGCGCTCTGTTAGCACGCTGAAAATCTGTTTTGATAATCATGAAAAAATTGGTCCTCTGAAAACTGTCGCCCCTTAAAGCAGGCGTTCGTTGGGCAACAAGCAGAATCCAACAATAACACAATACCCAATGGCCAAATCAATAATTAACCCAACAGAAAGATTAACCCTAATTAAATTAACCCACAACAATGATTCAACCAATACCTGTGCGGTAGCCGGTGGGTGCGAAATGGAAAGCTGGAGAGTGGAACCGTCTGCCGGACTTGGTGGACGGCGGAAGGTAGCCGCCGCGCGCGGTCACGGTTGGGAACTGGTGGTTGGTTTGTACGGCGGCCAGCCGGGAGTTGCAAAGAGTCTCCGGTCGTTGATGAAGACTCGGGAGTTGGAGAGTTCGAGTTTCGCCGGACGCCGGTCAGTCAATGTTATTTCTTTCAGTGAGGCTGACACCGGTGAGAGGTGTCGCCCTTGGCCCTAGGCTCAGCATGAGATTTGTTGAATTTCGAACTGTTCCAAAAATCGAATTGAACTCACCCCGAACCAAAAATTAATAGTTGACCGTTTAACTTCCCCGAACTGAACCGAACCAAACAAAAGAAATAATTGGTACAATTCTAGAGATTTCACAAATATCGATACCGAGAACTGAACCGAACCGAACCGTCTCATATCGTACCGAACTGAAGAACATAAATTAAGAATTGAATTATAACATTAGATGCGTGTTATTAATTTAATGTCAACTTTGATCTTATATGATTTGAGAATTTTTAAAATGCAAATAAATATAGTAATAATAATTAAGTTTTACTTAAATTTCATGCTTAGTAATACTTGATCTATAATTGAATTTTTCCTGCTATAAAAAATTATTTAAAATGGTATGAAAGGTTAAAAATATTTTTTTAAAAAAAAAATATCATTTTGTTTGAATTTTAAATTTTCAATATAATTAGTTGCACAAATTTATTCTTAACTAAAATTTAGAGTTACTTTTAAAGTTGATTTCAAAACGCAATATTTAAAATGAGAAAGTATTGATGAATGTTTTTTTTTAAATTATATAAAATTAAATAACTAAAATCTATAGTTACTTCTAAAGTTGATTTAACAAAAAATCTTCAGTATGATGAAGTATTATGAATATTGCTTTTCTTCTAAAATCTGAATCAAACCATACCGAACCGAACTGTTCCGAAAGTTCGAATATCGAACCAAACCGAACCGAAAAAGAAAAATCTCTGAATTGAACTGTCCCAATTTTTGGTACGGTTCCGGAGATCAACTTTAGTGATTTCTGATGCTCACCCTACTTCGCCCAACCGTTTCACAAATAAAGACATCACTAATTTTTCTCTTTAAGTCGAGGTTGTGTTTAGTAAACTAACTAGTACATTTTTTTTTTTTTAAACTAATTAGTACATGTACACCACTAATTTACTTGAAAATCATATTAAAATCAAATAATAATAACAACAAAAATTGTTTGTTTTTAAAAATTTTTGAAAAAATATATTATTATTTATATTTATAATTATACTGTCGCTCACACGACTTACTTATATTCTTTTTCATTTATATAAGATAACTACTTTGTAGTTAAGCTAAATTAATTAATATTAGTAGGTAATTTAATTTTAATTGAAAATATAAATAATATTATTTATTTATTTTGCATGTATAATATAGACTAATACATGGTCTCTGTGCAATGTACTGTTTACAATATTTACAATTGTATTATAATTTAAATATAGAAATAACAATAATCATGATTTACTAATTGTTTTCAAATTTGACCAGACCGAATAGTCTGACCGAGTGGATCGCGAACCGATTTATTGATCCATCTAGTTCACTTGAATGAAATATTCGCATATGAACCGATAAACACCAATAGCTCAAACTGGTATGATTTGCTGCAAACCGGAGGTGGCCGGGCAGCACCTAGGGCCTAAGCGGCTGCCTAAAACGATTTTTAGAACATAGTGTATTAAGCTAATGATTTTAAACATGATCTTAACATATGTTCTACAACAACAACAAAAAAAAAAAATAATAATAATAATAATAATAACAATAAACATCTATTTTAAACTTTTACTATTGCCAAATTAATCGTTACAACCCAATAAATTTCGAAATGTGCTTAATATGATATTAAAAAAAAAAAAAAAAAAATTGTAAAACCACATCTATGTTTAATTTTAATATTGTACCTGCCTCACTTGCCAACTTAGTATTCTTTACGTGGATGTATTAAGCATAAATAATTTAAACACGTTCTTTAAGTAATCTTGTTTACATGCATACATACATTGAATTATTATTCAAGTTGATATTTTGTTTTACAAAGTCAAAGCAATTGGGTTTTATACCTAGGACTTTTGACCCCGTCCACCTCCCTTTGACGACTACATATGCTTATATATATCTGCTCCATTTGTTTTGCCCATGCAAAAGTATTCAAAATCAAAACACAAGCATAAATTAATTATTTTCAGTTATTTTTTCCCTCTCAAAACTCCTAACAAAATTTCCTTATTAATTCATGGATCTCGAATCAGCCACTCGTTTTTCTCCACATTCATCGTCTTCGAACTCACCGCATGCAACTCACGTGATTGCAATTGCAGCATCCAACAGTACTTACTCAAAGAAACTAGTGGCCCGAAAGAATAGGCCTGTCCCGAACACGCCGAAGTTTGCAAATGTAACCGAACCGGAAAAGGATTTGGGGACATCCGATGAACCATCTGGTGCTGTGTTCGGATTTTCACAAGGAAAGGATTGTGTTTTTGCTTATAGGAGTCGTACTTTAATCGGGTTTTTCGATGAGGAGGCGATTTTTAACGAGCCGCTTTTGGTGGATAGCATGGCCGAGGGGATGCTCCTAACACCGCCCGCTATGAAGAAAGGGTTCAGTTGGAGCCATTTTGGTGTGGATGGTGATGAAGTTCATTTGTCCTTGTGGGAGGACTCATATTAATGTAATTATGTACAAGTGGATCATGTATATTT